GTCTCACAGAGTATTCTAGCTCTGCCTCAGTCCTCCCTCTTCATCCTGTTCATGGAAGCTATTTCAAAGCATTAAGCGGACACAGAGTTTATCTTTTCTTTTCTTTTTTTTTTTAGTCCATTTCAATTTTATCACATTAACTTAAAAGATGAACAAATTATATAATTCAAATGCTATTAAATTGATTTCAAACATAGGTTTCCACCAATCATAAACAGATATAGGATTTCAAGTAATGTATGGTGCCATCCATTGTCCATTTAAAAACATGCTTCTTTGATCCACAAAAAGCACTGAGAGGTAATTATTTTCTTTTATACTGCATAAGCTAACTGCAAATGTTGATGTTAATTTCTTTTATTTCATTGTCAATTTGGATGGTGACGCTGGGAGTCACAAGGTTCATAGTTAAAAATGTGAACAAAAAGTGTCTTTTCTTTCTCTCAGATAGAAAACGGAGGCCTTCATTCATGTGTCCTGACTCTCATAGCAGGTTACTTCTTCCCTTTTCCTTTTGTTTCCTCTCCTTGTTGAAGACTTTGCCCACCACCACCTGCTTTTTGTGTCCTTGTTTTTAGTTTAGGTATCATTTCCACTGCATACATTACTGACTCACATGATGGAAACTGTACAAGACAGAGGCTACCATCTTCCTGTTTGAGTTGGACCTAGACTCTGTCGCTGTACTGAACATCACGATTCCATTCTTCAGAGTACATTTTCTTTTTCTCAAGAAATGCTTTCAGTCTAAATGCTAAGCATACATCTTGAATCTTTGCAGCTGTGGGTTTTTCAACAGCCTTATTTATGGGATGCATCTCCCCTTCACAATGGTCTTCTTGTTATTTAAATAAGCAGGGTAGATACAAATGAACCTGTCCTGGTCAGCAGGGGACAGCGCAGGGCACAAGCCATTTCCACTAGGGACCGCACAATGCCAACCTGGAGCTTGTGAAGAGAAAACTGACAGTAACTCAGTGCTGAGAGGTGGCCGAGGGCCCTCAGTTATTTTCTTTCTCTGGGATCACTGTCCTTCATTGTCAAATATCCTTGAAACACCATTGTGTTATATATTCTATCTGGGTTTTTTGCTTGTCTCATGAAGGAGAGTAAATGGTCCCTTTTACTTTATCTGGTTCAGAAGCAGTTCCTCTTCTAAGCAGTGGTCTCTAAGTTATGTGTTCTCTGCCTACCTGTTCCTTCAGCCTCTCTGGTCACCTTATATGGTGGGTCTCCCGAGGGGGGGATTGTGCCAGGATTTCTGCAACACTTCACACCCACCTCATTTTCATCTCAATGTTGACCTCTACCTTCAAGCCAGACTAGAACTCCAAGCTCCAGGTGCATTAAATGCAACCAGGTGCATTAAATGCAACCGATCCAAACACTGTATTATTATCATCTTCCTAGACCTGCTGACTCTCCAGAACATCTCTGTTAATTACATTTCCATCTATCAGGCCAGAGATCTAAGAGTTGGCCTTGCACTTCCTTTTCCGTTATTTCCAAGTTTGGCCATCACTGAGGGCTGTCAGTTCTACCTCGTGAACGTCTCTGATCACCATCTCCCGGGCACACCGAGCCATCTTTGCTCTCACCGCACCGGTGATACCAACACACTGGCGCTAGGAGAAGTGGTCAGAGGCGTGAAGAATGTTTATGCTTGGACACTCCGCACACCCAGGTATGTTGTAGCACAGTTCGAGGAGCCCTTCTATTGGCCGATATTCTGTGATGTCACTAGGACGCGCCTGCTTCTAAAGACGTCTTATTGGTTGTTGGTGTCACGCAGGCTGCATCAGCAGTACGCAGGGCCAGCTGGAGTTGTGGCTCCGCTGGCGTTGTAGTTTCCTGGACTGTCTACGGTCATCGGGATCACGCTGCCAGTGCCCGGCGCCCGCTAACCTTTGCCCGGCTCCCGCCGGCCCCAGCTGCCTGCTCTAGCCCTAGCCTGTCAGCCCAGGGCGTCCGGCAGAATCGACCGCCGCTGCCTGGTAGGTCCGTCAAGTGTCCACAGAGCGGGGCTGCACGCCTTAGCCTCCTTCCCGGCCTCTGGCTGAGGACAGGACTGGACAGGGATTTTTGGTCGCTTCCGATCACACGGACCGGGGCTGGGTGGGCCCTTGTGAACGTCCAGAAAGTGCAGGGAGGGAACTGGGCAGACAGTGAAGCTGAGCGTCCCAGACTAGTGGATTATGTGAGGGGGAGACCCACGTATAAATCCAGGTCATTCAGGCTGGATTGAACTTGGACTATGTTGCAAAGCTATTACCGTAAAGGCTCCACAGCCGCTTTCTGACTGGTACCTCGGCCTTTGAGTTCACGTTTTTGGTCCTCGATGTCCGCTTCTGTCAAATGGGCGTGGAGTGGAGAGCCTCTACCTGAGGAGAGGTACGGGTGGAATGAAAGCCTGCATAGGCCTGTAACGTGGGGCCTAAGGCTGTCTTGGAGAGCAGCTTTATTCCTGTGGCAGCAGGCGGCTAGTTTCCCTGAGCCAGGCTGACAGTAGGTAGGGTGTGAGTGGGCTTCTGGGGAGTTCCTGTGGGAGAGCCCTACTTATCACCACAACCCTCAGAGCTAAAGATGGTGGGGGTGGGATGAAGCTGGATTTTCATGTTTGCACACCTCGTTGTTTTTTAACTTCAGCGCAGAGGCCTATCCATGGAAAATAGAGCCTGTGACAAACACTTTCCACAGTTCGGACATTCCTCTGACATAGTTAGCATTATTGTGCACCTCAGGCAATTAACTCAACAATCAAAAGTCTTCGTTTTCATAGAAGAGAAAGTACTCTTTTCCCATTCCCCCAGGTGGCTCCTTTTGTCATCGCCCTTCTCTGGCTTCCGGGGCTTTACCATCCAGTTTGGAGGAAAGTTCATTAGAAGAAAATAGTCCCTGGTATGGTGCTGCAGGTTAAAGCACTGGACTGCAAGGGCGGTTTGAACCCAAGGTTGGCAGTTCAAGGTCACCACAGGATCTCTATGAGTCAGACTCTAAGGCACTTAACAACAACAATGTCAAGAAACTTTTCAGGGGATAGATACGAGGACCTTTGACTTGTTGATGGGAGGCTTGTTATGGGACACAGAAGCCTCAATGCCCTCAGTGAGCAGGGCTCATTGGAATGCTGAGGCCAGGCAACTGGGGATTGGAGGAAGGGAGATGTGGTAACAATATGGAAAGTAGAGCTGGTGAGAGAGGGAAGCAGGGGAGGAGAAAGTCCTGAAGCCTGGAAATGGTTATCAAATAGAAAAGTATTCATTTTAATTTGCTGAGTGTTCTCTCACTGCTGGTGGTGAAAACTGAGATGCTTACTAGAAAGTGCTCTGTGATACCTTCCTGGAAGGGGTGCCCAGGGCTGCTGTTATTAGGTGCCGTCTAGTTAGCATAGTGATTACGAATCGGGCTGTGAACCGGGCTGTGAACCGAAAGGTAAGCAGTTCGAAACTACCAGCTGCCTGGTGGGAGAAAGATGAGGCTTTCTGCTTCCGTAAAGATTTACAGCCTCGGAAACCCAGTACAGGGTCCCTATGAGTCGGAACTGACTCCACGGCACATAACAACAACAACAGTTTGTTCCTACCCATGGCGAGCCTGTATAGGGCTTCCAAGGAGTGGCTGGTGAGCTTGATCTGCCGACCTTGCAGTCCAGAGCATTAACCTGCAGCACCACCAGTGCCAGACCTTACATATGCCATTGCTTCAGTGTCACCTGAACATTGATTGAGGTTGACAATCGCTAGGCTTTCTCAAGTAGTGACAAGTCAAACCCTGCTTGTCATCTGTTTACTTGTTCATTCAACAGAGTTCCTATAAACAGCCCATGCACCAGGCAGTGCTGGGCCCTGTGGACTGAGCAATGAGCTAGATAGACATGGCCCCTGACCTCAGGGAGCAGATAGCTGTGGTGTGCCTGCCAGACCTAGGCCTGCCTGTCTTTGTCTGCAGATTCTTCCCTGAGGCCGCCTGAATGTGGGGGTGTTGGTGTTAAGTTGCGGTCATCTGGTTTCTAGCTCATAGCAACCTTTCTGAGGAGCTATTGGTGGGTTTGAACTGCTGATCTTGCGATTGAAACCAAGTTTGTGTCCAGGGCTTTATCCTACTGCACCGTACCAGGAAAGGTGGTACTTCTAAAAGGTCTGGACCTTCTGGGAGGGGTTCTGGCTTTGCCATATGAACAGTGGGAAGCATTTTAAGCAACAGCTAATGGGATCAAGTTTGCGTTTAAAAAAAATTGCTGGTGGCAGCTGTGAAGCCAGTTTCATTCACCAGGAGCCCCATGGCATGCTGGGGACCCATTTTGGAATTCACGTTGTATTCACTACCTTGGTCCGGATTTCATTGAATTCCTAGCCCTACTCAGGTTAGCTAGCTCAGCTCAGCACTGCATCACTTTCTCAAAGAATGAGACATGAAGTAAGTCTCCACCCCTAGGCCCAAGTGATCTTCTTCAAGTCTCACTTATGCCAATTACCATTAACATCTGTGTCCTCTATGAGCAAGATGGTGGGGGCGAGTTTGTCTGATCTTCATTGCTTCACCAGTGATTATAGTGGTGCCAAGCACATTGTAATATTTCAGAAAACATTGGTTCAAGTTATGCTAGAATCTCTAGGACCTAGCTTAGTGCCTGGTATGAAGTAGTTGCTCCTCTATAAATGTTTCATCAACTCATTAATTGTTGTTGTTAGTTCCATCAAGTCAGTTCTGACTCATAGCAACCCTGTATAGGGTTCCAAGGAGCAATTGGTGAGCTTGACCCACCAACCTTGTGGTTCAAAGCAACTTTGCAGTCCAGCGCATTAGCCCACAGCGCCACACCAGACTCCCCTCATTAAGTGTAGCAGGGCAAAATGTAAATCTAGGCCACTTCCCTTGTGGTGTGCCAGGAATGGGTGATGGGGCAAAGGGATTTGGGCTGCAGTTTGAGCAGCTTCGGGGACTCTCATGATTCCTCTGGGCTTCATCTCTCTCTGGGACCTGCTTTTTCTCCACAGGCCCAGATGCTGATCTCTGGTCGGAGGAGATTGCTCACCGTTCTTCTGCAGGCTCAGAAGTGGCCCTTTCAACCCTCCAGAGACATGAGACTGGTACAGTTCCAGGCATCCCACCTGGCAGGACCTCGCCTAGGCCTGGAGTTGGAGAGTGATCAAGGGGTCATTGACCTCAATGCCTTTGACTCCACACTCCCCAGGACGATGATAGAGTTCCTGGAGCAGGGAGAGACCACCCTTTCAGTAGCAAGAAGGTAAACGAGCAGCCAGCACTGCTCCTCAGCAGCTGCCTTGGTTTCCCTCTCCCTCATCTCACCCTACCTGGTCCCATGGAATGGACCAGCAGGTAGCTTTTCTGCAGAAGATCAGCATAACCCCACTTTTCTTTCTCACTTGTTCTCTTGTGATGAGCCATCACCTGCAACTTACAGAGGGGAAAACTGAAGTCCAGGGAAGGCGATTAACTCCCCTAAGACCACACATTTGGTGATGGAGTCAGGACTGTACTTTATCGCCTGCCTTTCCCAAGACTAAGTATGTGCTTGCCTGAGGTGTATGGTACCTGGGGTCCTAAAAGGCATCTTAGGGAGCAGGGGGCGTTAGTGGCTTCTTGGAGGAAAGAGGTTTTCTCAAAGATAGTTGGTATTTAGTTTTGGGCTAGGTTAGGTGGGAGCTTCCCTGAAACTAGTAAGTAGCCCTGTGGATTCTGATCTAAAGGTATTAATGACAAGTACATTGAAACCACTGAGATGTCATTTTCACCTATGAAATTGGCAAAGATACAGATATTCTCACACATGGCTGGTGGGAGCATTTAAAGTGATCAGCCTTTATGGAGGGCTATTTGAAAATATCTGTCAAAATTACAGAGGCACATAACTTTTGACCCCTCAGTTCTACATTGAGGAAATGCTTCTGCCATCATACTCCATGTTATATGCAAGTGCTCTGTATCCCAGCATTCCACTGCACTTTGTTTCCACTAGCAGATTGGAAACCACCTCCACGTCCCTCCCTTAGTGAACTGGATGTGTCTCTGCAGGACAGTTATATACAGCTATAAAAAGAGAAGAGAGAAGCTCTTTATACTTTTATGGAGAGATTTCTAAAGTACATTGCTAAGTGTATGTCGGACTCAGAGGAGTTGTGATGGTTGCACAAGAAGCATATCTCCAAGGATGTGAGAAGAGTGACTAGGAGAAGGGTGCCACAGAGACCTTTTTATTCATGTTCTTTAGTATCTTATGACTTCTCTTACAAGGATACTTATTACCTAGTGGGGCAGGGGTGGGGGGGGAAGGAAACTAACATTGGTAAATAGTTGACTGTGCTCTGATTCCGGAGGACAATAGCTGGGATTAGTATTCACACTGACTCTGAGGGTTGGTAGATTTAGAAGATTTGCTGCAGGGTCCCCCAGACCATCCCAGGATTGCTAACCCCTCTCTCTTGCTCTGATCTCTGCAGAGCCCTGACTTCCTCATTACAGGTCCTGCCACGGTCAGAGGTAACCTTCCTGGCCCCAGTTACACGGCCAGACAAGGTGGTGTGCGTGGGCATGAACTATGTGGACCACTGCAAAGAGCAGAATGTGCCTGTGCCCAAGGAGCCCATCATCTTCAGCAAGTTTGCCAGCTCCATCGTGGGGCCCTACGATGAGGTCGTCCTCCCACCTGAGAGTCAGGTAGGTGTCTCCTCCTGCCCTCCAGTCACAAGAGAACTGAGCTCAGTGTCTAGCCTCTCAGGTGATTCTTCTTTCAGGAGCTGCCTGTGGCTCAGCAGTGCATGAAACAGAAACTACAGGGGATTGCACAGCAATAACACTATCCTTGGGGAAAAAAAGAATGTTATCTTTTCCTGATACAAAATAATACCTTCATAGAAAAGTAATAAACAGTCACCCATATTCTTATAAGCAGGAATATGATATTTATGTTTTGCTATCTATCTTCCCACTGTTTATTCTATTCTGTATATTAAGCAAATATCTTTAAAAAATCAAGATTATATATATATGGAGCACAGTGGCTTCATAGGATAACTCCCCGGTTGGTGGTTTGAGCCCACCAGCCCCTCCAATGGAGAAAGATGAGGCTTTCAGCTCCCCCAAAGATTTTTAAAGACTTGGGCAATCTATACAGGGTTGCTATGAGTCAGAACAGACTCAACAGCACTTGGCAACAACATATATATATATACGTACACATATAAACTATTAAATATTCTCCCCTAACATGTTTCAGCTTATTGTTTAGTGTTCTGTTGCATTAATGGCCAAACATCATTCAGTGGTCACTGTTGCTGGCTACTTGAGTTGTTTCCAGTTTGGGGCATTTATGTTGTATTGAAGAACATCCTTATATAAAAGACTGCACATCTGTGAATATGGGATTATTCCCTTTAATAAACTCTTAGAATTTGGATGTCAAAATGAAAGTATAGGCAGTATTTAAAAACTTTTAATTATTCTGCCAAATTCTATCAGAAAAGTTGTGAAAGCGGTGTACACAATTACCAGCAGCACATTTAATAGCAAGGGTTAGTTTTTCCTTCCAATATTTTTATTTTAGGAGTATTTTTTTTAATTGGTGGCCTACAGAAAAGGCAGGGAAAAAGTAGCACAAGAACATTTATATCCCCTTCTCCTGGATTTGACAGTTTGTCACATTTGAAAGTTGGTTGCAGAGAACCCATAAAAACTTCATGCAGATTCCACTAATAGGACAATGTCCTACCATCACATTGTCACAACTACAAAAATTAACATGAATGATAGCTACTAACATTCTTGCTAGGCACCATCCAGTCAGTTTTCACTCCTAGCGACCCATGTGACAGAACTGCCTCACTGTTGTCCAGGCTCTGCTTGCTCCCTCGGGGGCACTCAGTGCATTCTCACTGCTAATCTTTTTGGTTGGCAGCCAAGCACTTCACTGTTGCGCCACCAGGGCTTTTCAATACACAGTCCAATTATTCCAGTTCCCAGTTGGGAATATTTCTAACTGTACTTAAGATGCCTTTAATTTTGGCAACAGTTTTTTTAAAGGACCGTTGATACTTTAGGCTTTGCAGGCCCTATGTTATCTGCTATAGCAATTCAATTCTGTCTTTGTGATGTGAAGGCAGTCATGGGCAATGGATAAACAAATGAGCATGTCTGTGTTCCAAGTAAACTTTATTTAAAAAAAAAAAAATAGGCAGTGAGGTAGATATTGCAAGCCTGATAGCACTGTAGGACAAGCCCTTGATTGCTTATCTCAAGGACAGCAGTTCAAAACCCGCCTGCAGTTCAGAAACCCTTTACATGGTCATTTTGAGTCAGAACTGACTTGATGGCAGTCAGTGAGTAGGTGATCTCCTCTCCCTGCCCATTTACACACTGACCTTTTGAGGAATCCAGAGCCCTTGTATTATGCAGTGTCCCACACTCTGAATTTGTCTGAGGTAAACGTTTGTCAAGTGTTCAACCGGGATGTTCTGTACTTCTTATTGCGTCCATCAGGAGCTCCTTCAGAAAGTTTCATTTTCATTCCTGTCATTCCTAACAGAGTGTGAGACCCATGACTATCTTGTTGCCCTGCAGCATTTTCCCCAGGGGTCTTCTGCTCATCTCTGTATCTCTACCTCAATCCTTCATACATTAGGGGTTGCAGGATTTTTGTCATGCCTCAACTTTGTTCTGGGGTGGCGCTGTAAGATAAGCACTATGCTGCTATCTGCAAGATCATCAGTTCAAACCACCAGCCACTCCTTGGAAACCCTATAGTTGTTGAGTCAGATCAGATTCTCCAATACTTAACATTGTTTTATGAACAATGGCTGCCTCCCTCATCTTTTACTCCTTTTAATATCATGAATTTGATTTTTGTGTTTACCCAAAGTGTTGTAACCTCTCTCTTACATTGTATTTTTGACATTCAGGTATCTTTATTTGGCCAGTGGAGGTGCCTTCAAGTTGGCCCCCATTCCCATTACCTCTGGAGCATTCCCTTGTTCTCAGGCCTATATTCCAGGCTCATCTCTATTGTATGCCTCAGACCTAGAATTAGCCATTTCCCCCAAGGAACCCTTTCATGAGAGATAGCATTAGAGACCAAGATCTAAGTGCTGGGTATGTTCATACCAACCCTGATTGTTACCATTAAAAACAATAGTTGTCAATGGGAGTTGTAGTTGCACTTCATTTAGGAAAGGTTGTCTATTTTCATGTCTTGTGGCATGTGAAATTCTTTTGCATTTTGTAAATTGCTTACTCAAGCCCTTTGTCCACATTAATTCAGGCTGTTGATCTTTTTCATATTGATCATTTAAGTGAGTTAATAAAAGAAAAGCACTTAGATCTGGCACATAGTAGGGTTACAGATTGTAAGCTATTATTTGGAGATACACTTGATACATAAAACATACTCATCTTTTCTTGTTGTATTGAGACTGCGTTGCTTTCCTACAGTCCCACTGAGCAGTTGCACATCAAGTTAGTGTTGGTAGCCACCGCCTGAGGTTTAAGGGCCTACAAGTCACACCTGCCCTATCACTCACCCCATGCTGGTTGGTGGTGATACAAGTGTGGGCTGGCAGCTGACCCCTGTTCATTAGAGATTGGGAATGGGTCCCAGAGGCACAGCAGCTCATGCTCCTGTCCCCACCCTATAGGAAGTGGACTGGGAGGTGGAGCTGGCTGTGGTCATTGGGAAGAAAGGCAAGCACATCAAGGTAAGGTGGAAGAAGTGGGCTCCTGGGGAGAGCGGGGCAGAGGCACCACTCATGTTTCTGCTCGAGCTGATCTTGCTTTCCAGCAGTGGTGCCTACATGCTCCCTGATACTGTCTTACCCGTTCCCTACATTTTTCTGGCTTCAACTACCAATGGTGGGATAAAACTTTGAGATCCTTTTATCATAGGTTTTAGTGTCATCCATGATCTAACCTCCAGTGTGGCCAAATCCCTTCCCCCCATAGACCACAGATGCCATGGCTCATGTGGCTGGCTTCACCGTGGCACATGACGTAAGTGCTCGGGACTGGCAAATGAAACGCAATGGAAAGCAGTGGCTACTGGGAAAAACTTTTGACACCTTTTGCCCCCTGGGCCCTGCCTTGGTGACCAAGGACAGTGTAGCAGGTAGGTCTCTGCCTTGCCCACATGGTGACTCTTTCTCCCAGCCTTTGCACCTTGCTGCTCTTTGTACAGATACTTCAGCATAAGGAGTGTGTACCCAGGAAGCAAGAATGCCCCCACCCTCACTGGCTGCTCTTTTGCTGCTGATACTTTGAGAATAAGTCCCAGCCTCAGCCACAAGTTCTCCAACAGGCCTCCTTCCCTTGTCCCCTCACCCTACAGGAACACAACTGCAGACTGTGAAGCTGAGGTTCCAACAGCAGTTTTGACCTTCAGGAAGTGAATTACAAAGAACAGTACTCCACTGATTAGTGGGTCAGGTTTCCTCAAGCTTCAGCCATCTAGACTAGCCTTCAAGTTGAAAGAAAGCACAACTCCCTCTGGAGCAGCGCTATGACACGACCACAACCAGATCCCATGCATTTTCTCAAGGGAGCTGCCAGAGCACCCCCAGGCCGATGCAGCCACTATGGGAGCTGAGCGGACAGGAGAGTGGGCAGAGCGCAGCTTGTAAACCCAGAGTCCACACAGCTCAGCCATGCTCAGGGCCTGTGTCTCCCTTGTACTCCTGCAAGGCCATCCATCAGGAGTTAAGATTGTGTTCCAGCCACTCTATCTAGGGACTATGAGTGTGCCCATCACAACCATCTCCATCAGGAAAGCAGAACATGTTGATTAGCCAGGACAGTTATTAGGTGCCATCAAGTTGGTATCAACTCATAGCAACCTTATGCACAGCTTAACAAAACACTGCCCAATCCTGGGCCAACCTCACTATTGTTGCCACGCTTGAGCCCACTGATGCTGTCACTTGGCCAATCCATCTTGTTGGAGGTCTTCCTCTTTTTCTCTGACCCTCCACCTTACCAAACATGATATCCTTCTCCAGTGACTGGTCCCTCCTGACAGTATGTCCGAAGTATGGGACACGAAGTTTGGCCATCCTGGCCTGCAAGGAGCACTCTGGCTGCACTTCTTCCAACACAGATCTGTTGGTTCTTTTGGCAGCCCATGGCACTTTCAACATTCTCCTCCAGCACTATTTGTTGTTAAGTGCCGCCGAGTTGGTTCTGATACATAGCAACCCTGTATAGGTTATGAGGAGCAGCTGGTGACCTTGAACTGCTGACTTTGCAGTTCAAACGGATTTTTCAGTCCAGCGTACTAATCCCACAATACCACACCAGAACTCCAGGACATTATTATGGGTCACTTATTCTCTACCAAGGTTGGCAGTTCAAACTCACCAGCCACTCCTTGGAAACCCTATACAGGGTTGCTGTGGGTCGGAGCTGACTTGATGGCACTTAACAATTCTCTACAAATGTCAGAGGCACAAGGCTTCACTGTCACTGCCTGTACTGTGAGACCCGAGCCATGTTCCCCTCCCCTCAGTCTGGGAGCTCCCCTCCTTAATTCATCAGCACTGTATGGTTATGAAGTAGTGACTCTGCAGGGTGGTGGGACACAGGGAGGGTAGATGGTGGGCCTCTGCCCTGAGGACAGGCAATTCAGGGTCTTACACAGGGTAACCCACATGTGTAGTGCTCACCTGGCAAGTCAGGAAGCCTCTCTTAATGCTTTCATTTTCTAGCTAACTCTGGGGGAGGTTTGAGGAAAAAAGGGATTACCGCCAGGTGTTTTGGGTTTTTTTCACTTCAGATCCACACAACTTGAAGATTTGCTGCCGAGTCAATGGGGAGGTGGTGCAAAACAGCAGCACCAGCCAGATGGTGTTTAAGACAGAAGAACTGATTGCCTGGGTCTCCCAGTAAGTGGGCCACGGCCTGTGTTGACCAGCCTCACCCCACCCCATAAATAACAACAGCCTGTCTGTGCTACCCTCCGCCCATGGCCTCACTGGGCCTGCCTTCTTTGCCCCAGGTTCGTCACTCTTTACCCAGGAGATGTTATCCTGACTGGGACCCCCCCTGGTGTTGGTGTATTCAGGAAACCTCCTGTCTTTCTCAAGGTAGGTTGGCTAAAAAGGATGGGGGAATGGGAGCATGAACTAGGAGGCATGGCAGGCTTGGGCTCAAACTTCAGCCATCCCAGCCTGTGTGTGTCTGGGGCATATGTATGAAACTTCAAGGGCTGACACACCAACCCCGACCCCCATGGCAGACTGGCCTCTTTTGTTACAGAAGGGCGATGAAGTCCAGTGTGAGATCGAAGGACTAGGCGTCATCATCAACAAGGTGGTGTGAGGGCTCCTGCTGCAGACCCCCCAGGAGTTTCAATATCACCTCCGCACAGGAAGGGATATGTGCCAGACATGAGCTGTGTCAGTCCCGCCACGGCCCTCTTTCAGGGAGAAGGGAGAGGAGATGAAGCTCCCCTCAATAAATTTCTCAGGCCAAAGCAGTAGCTTGGTTTCTTTTAGGGTTTGTTTTCTCCAGTGAGATAGGACATTCTCACAGGGCTGGGAAAGAGCAGACATACACAGACCAAAAAGATTCTTCTGGGCTTGGAAAAGGAGTCGTCCAGTTACCAGTCTCATCACACCAAAGGATGATGGAAGCAAGAAACAGCAAGGGACATCAGAGCTCAGTGTCTGCTGGCTCTTCTCCATCTTGTCTAGTCCCAGGATTCAGCCAGGTTCTGGGTCTGGGAAGTCTCAGCTTAGGTTCCACCTGCAGTTCTAGATACAGATGAACTGCCGGATAAACTGTTCCAGCTTTTCCTGGTTCTGCCGGCTGACAAATGTTGGGGACAGGTGGAGCATGTGGCCTGCAGGGCTTGGCATCTGCTGTAGCACCTGGAGTAGGGAAAGGGCCACAGGCATGATCACCAGGGAAAGTGCACCCAGGAAACTGCAGTGAAGCCTCTGGCTCCTTAAGCCCAATGTGCTGCCTCCTCTCTCAGACCCCACCTAAAAGTAAAATGAGCCAGTGGTTTAGGAGACAGAGATGGGCAGGAGAACCAGCCCTTCAGATCCACACAACTTCAAGATCTGCTGCCGCGTCAACGGCTACTACCTTCTCCAACCTGGCTGTCACTACTCCTATTCCTGGAGACACCGAGTCAATCCCAGGTTTATAACAAGGCATCATCAGAGTAAGCACCAGGGTGCACGGAGCTCAGCTGGGGTGTGAATTTGGAGTGAAAGGTGGACAGCTGGATGGTGAGACTGGTCCTTCTTACCCCCAAGTCTTTGAAGGTCCAAATAGCACAGGCGGCAAGTTTTGGGTCTGCACACTCTGGAGGGAAAAAAGAAGTCTGGAGTCAGGAGTGGGTGGGCCACGGGCGCAGGCTATGTCTTCCAGAGACAGGGCTCACACTGCACCAGAAGTCCCTCTACACTGCAGCCCTCCTTGCCTGGAGTTGGGTAGTCACTGTCCACCAGGGGGCAGTAGCCACCAGCAAACCCACCACCCTTGGCTTCCCTGGAACCTAGGCTGAGTTCCCGAACCTAGACTTACCGAAGAGCCCTTCATCCTGGGCTGAGGCCTGCAAGAACTTGAACAGCTGCTCCATATAGCCCGACTCTGTGGGGAGAAAGCAAGACCTAGACCTAAGGCCCAACACATAAGAGACCCTGCCCTGAGCTCTCAGCCTGAGGACCACCGCAGGGAAAGTGAGAGGGTTGCATCAAGGAGGTCTCTGGCACAGCTTCCCAAGGCCAAGCAGGGACTCACCTGTATCAGGCAACTGTCCCTGGCAAAGGAAGGCGGCCGCCTGTGCAAAGGCCTTGAGCAGTGGGCTGAGCAGGCGGCAGAGGAAGAGGAAGAAGTCAGGGCAGCGAGACTGCTGGCTGAGCTGGAGAAGGAATGGCCAGGGTGAGGCGCCCCACAACCAATACTACTGCCCTACAGCCTCCCACCTGGGGTGGCTTCTCCCAATGTACCCGGAAGTACCGGCCCTTGGTCTCCTCGAAGTCATCACTGTCGCTGTCAGTAAAGTCCCCACTTGGCTTCCACAGCAGCTTTGAACTAAAACTCTGTCGCCCTGTGTCACAGGTTGGCCGGGAGCCAGGAGTCTGGGGGTGGGAGGGTGGGAAGGGCATATTAAACGCCCGGGCCCACCTGTGCTACAGGTGGGGCCAAGACTGCTCCCATGTACTGAGCTCTGTCCTGGCTCCAGATGTTAGCTCAGGGGTTGCCCACCCCCACAGCACACATGGAACAAGAGTATCCTGTAGCAGCTATCACCTAGGAGAGGCTGACAGCCCAGGCCCCAAGCAAGGGCTTTGTCTCCAACTTCCTGCATACCTCCTCAGCAACCAAGAGCCCACACTGGATGAGACGGTCCAGCACCTCCTGGCAGTAGCAGTAGGAAGACTGACAGGGCTGGGGAGAAAGGTACCATATGGCTTCAGAACAGGACAGGGTTAGGCCTACTGCCACAGGTAGTGTCAGGGGTGCCGCTCAGCGGGATGCCCTCCCCCACCCTGCCTGGAGCAGCAGTGGCAGAGCAGAGCTGTTTGGTGGGAGAGGCCTAACCTGCAGCAGCAGCAGGTCCTGTGGCAGCAGGTGCAGCAGCAGCAGGATCTGGCGATACAGCTCATTCTGGCTCAGTAGCTCCAGGCCCTGCAGCTCCCAGCGCCCCTCAGGTCGCATTCTGCCTGCCAGCAGCCCCCGCACAGCACAGGCTGGGGCAGCGTGGGCCACAAACAAGGGTGGGCATTTGGAAAGAAGTTATTCCTCTCAGCCCTGCACACTATCCCATCCGCCCTGGGCCCTCTGGACTCACCACCCACGGCCTCGCTCAGGAAGGCCGGCAGCAGCTCTGCACTCAGGCGTGCTAGGTGCATGATACCTGGGCCAGGCCGAGGCACCACCAACAAGTCCCCCTGGCGGACATGCAGCAGTGCCACGTGGGCCCGCAGCAGGCTCAGAGTGTGCTGTACAAGGCACCGGAGCTGCCCTGAGAAGCCTACGTCAAAGCCTCGCAGCAGCGTCTCCTCCGTCAGCCACGAGAACTCCCCCAGGAGCTGCGACAGGAACACGCCCTGGGTGGGCAGGGCAGAGGCCTGAGTAGCAGCCACGTCCTCTCACTGGGTCCCCCATCAAACCTGGCCCTACCTTGTGGTGCTTGAACAGCAGCAGCGTCGCCATGATGGCTGTGCTCATCACCGCGGAACTTGCCACACTGGCTGGGGCCAAGAGAGGGAAGATGCCAGTCAGGGGTCCTACCAGCAGCCACACCCCTAACTCCAACCCAGGAAGGTGAGGCAAGGCGGCAAGCAGGCCTGGCCTCTGCGTCCCACCCACTCTTTTGGTAGAGAATTGTTAGGTGCCGTCACGTCACGTCACGTCACGTCATGTCACGTCACGTCACGATACGTCACATCAGTTCTGACTCATAGCAACCCCGCACAACAAAAGGAACATTGCCTGATCCTGCGCCATCCTCACAACTGTTATGTTGGAACCCATTATTGCTGCCACTGTGTCAATCCTTATTAAGGGTCTCCCTCTTTCTCATTGACTTTACCAAACATGATGTCCTTCTCCAGGGACTGGTCCTTTCTGACACGTCCAAAGTATGAGAACCGAAGTTTCACTATCCACACTTCTAAGGCGCAATCCGGCTGTATTTCTTGCAAAACAGATTTATTTGTTCTTCTGGAAGTCCTTGGTATTTGCAGTATTCTTCTCCAACACCATCATCAAATACATCAATTCTTTTCCAGTCTTTCTTATTCACTGTACAGATTTTCAATGTCGTTGTTAAGTGCCGTCGAGTCGAGTTGGTTCGATTTTCAATGTATGAGGCAACAAAAAAAACACCATGGCTTGAATCAGGCGCAACTTAAGTCCTCAAACTGTTATCTTTGCTCTTGAACACTCTTTTGCAGCCTATCTGCCTAATGAGATATGAGATAGGTTGTTTAATTTCTTAACTACTGCTTCCATGAGCACCGATTGTGGTGCCAAGTAAAATGAAATCCTTGACAACTTCAGTCTCATTCCCATTTACCATGATATTGTTTATTGCTCCAGTGGTGAGAATCTTTGTTTTCTTTACATTGAGGTGCCATCCATATGAAGGCTGCAAAGTCTTTAATCTTTATCAGTATTTTAAGTCCTTCCCTTCCAGCAAGCCAGGCTGTGTCATTTGCTTATCACAGGTGGTTAAACAGTCTTCCTCAGATTCTGTTGCCACGTTCTTCACAAAATCCAGCTTCTTGGATTATTTGCTCAGCATATAGATTGAGTGGGTATGGTGAAAGAATATAATCCTGGTGAATACCTTTCTTGATTTTAGACCATTCGGTGTCCCCTTGCTCTGTTCTAACAACTGCCACTCAATCTTGTTCCTTGCAAGCACAACAAGTGTTGTGGAATTACCATTCTTCTAAATGTTACCCAGTTTGTTATGATCCACACAGTCAAATGCCTTTGTAGTCAATTACCATTTATCAAATACAAGAGCCAGGCTAGGTGCCCGGAGCCTTTCCCCCTGTCTCTTATAGATCCTGCTCACCAACCCAGGGTCAGTTAGAAGAGGGAGCACTTCACAAGAAAGCAGTAAAAATGTTTGTGTTAGAAGACCTCTCTGAGCCAAGCATTGGTTAATGCACTTTATGTACACAATTTCATTCAGTTAACATCCCCATTTTCAGCTAAAGAGACATTCAGGCTCCAAAAGGTGAAGTGAGGAGCCCACATGGGCTGGGTCTCAGGGCCTCCCTGGCTGCCCAGCACAGGAAGTAGGCTGCTCCTTGGGGACCGGGGGAAAGGTTCCATTCTACTCTAGGTGTCCTTTCCACACGTCACACAGGTAGGGTGCACAGGTGCAGAAATCCATTTGGAATGGTTGCCCCAGAGAAGAGACAGAAGGGACTGCACATGAATCACCCTCCCAACCCAGCTCCAGTCCATCCTCACCATGCAGGACATGACGGCTCAGCCTTCTGACCAGAAGCTGGTCCTCTTCCTTAAGGGCCAGCAGGGGCCCAATTACTGGGGTCCACTCCTGCTCCTTCTCAGTGTCTGGGACAACAGTCCTGGATAAAGACACAGACAACCTGAAAACAAGACCTCCTTCCCCCAGACTTAATCCCAGCCCTAGCATCAGAGATGGCTCATGTCTAGGTCTTTGTGCCACACCCCACGCTAGGATCAATGCAAGGAGAAGACACTTGGTCCTGTTCTGCTAGAGGGCTCATGGATATATGGCAAGGGAAGGCTGGAGGGTGTGTGTGTGACGTGGCATGGGAAGGGGTTATGGGCTACACAGCTGGGTCGGGAGGACTGCTCCAGGCCCAGACCCCTGCTCCTACCATTGTCCAAGCACGATGGGCTGCAGCAGTTGCTCCAGGGTCTGCCGGCTGCCCCAGCAGCTTCTGGCATTGATGGTGTATTCCTGCCCAAAACAATGCTCTCAGGTGGAATGCCCGAGCCCACGTATACACAGCCCACCTGATAAGGTCAGGGCTAGCCCAACAGAGGCTTGGATGGCCGGCAGCTAGAGGCCCAGAAGAGACTACTTGGAGTTCAACGTGAATATTCTTAGTCTTACCTAACTAGCTCCCCACCTGTAGGGAGAAGGGCTGAGCCAGGTGCACACGAACACAGGCGCGGTGGCTGCAGCCCCAACAGCTTCGCAGACTCCGCAGGACGGCCAGAGTTCCTGTCCACAGCCCCAGAGGAGTGGAATCCTGTAAGGGAGAGGCTCGTGTGCTCAGACTGCAGGTCCCTAGCGCGCTCTCCAGAGGTACGCCTCTAGTCCTAGCCTGCTCAGCTTTCTCTCAGGCTCAATCTGATGCATGGCCCTGACCTCTCCACGAAGCTGGAGACCTCTTCACAAAGATTCAATAAGATGATGACTACAGTGACCTTGGTTAACTGCTGCAGGCTGATGACTACAGAGAGCAGATTCCTCTGCACACACCCCCACTCTGGCCCCAGCCCTCAACCACAGGATCCAATATTGTGCCTCCTGTCTGGAGTTGATGTCCACTTGGGAGTCCCGAGGGGGCAGCAGGGTCTCACGTGGTGTACATCAGGCAGTGCATCTGGAACCAGGTCATAGGTGACAGCCGCTGGCACCAGGAGAACATCTGGGACAACATTTGCCTGGACCGCCTGCACCACCATTCCCAGCCAGGCCTGGCCTAAGGCTGACAGCCGTGGCCTCTGGGCCCCAGGGGGCTCCTCCAAGAAGATGAGCAGGGGCTGCCCACTGACCAGCAGCTGATCTAGGACCTGGGATGGGATGGGGAGAGGGTGGGCATCAACGTCAGATCAGAAACAGACCCCTGTTGCCTTGGCTCACCCCACAGACCACCACTCACCGTATGAACCACGGCCCTGGCCAGCACCCCCTCAGAGCTACCTAGGGCAAGGTTGGCTTCTTGAGGCAGAAAGAGCCACCCTAGTTTCCTCAGCAGAGTTCTGTGGGACACAAGGGCGATCTTGAGGGAAGGGATTCCAGAGATAGAAACAAGCAAGACGTCAGTGACAACCTTGGCCCATACAGGGCCAGCCTGGTGTCTGCAGCTGACCCTCCAACTGAGCTCCAGAGACTGAGCTGGAAGAAGCTTGGGAGCACAGAGACCAGGAAAAGGGCCTTTGGGGAGGTCCTGCCAGCAGGGCCCCATATGCAGCCCGTGTTCCCATCGCAACTTCTCCTCTGTGTATTCAGGGGAACAAGGCTTTTACCTGAGGACAGGGGAGCAGATGTGGGGGTCCCAAGCGACACGAAGCACACCCAAGCCCTGGGCGAACAGCACAAAGGGAAGCAGGATCCCATCCAGGAGTGACTTGTGGGTTGAGAGGAGGACAAGCGGCGAGCCCTGCTCCAGGGAGGGGTGAGTCAGCCGCCACCCAGAAGACAGGGAGCAGAGCCAGCTTCCTTCTAAGCACATTCCCCAAAGTAGAGCTTTCCCAACAATTGTCAAGGTAATTCACTGATGTAATGGTTAAGACCATGATGAAAAGACGTTAGAAGAAGCCTCGTGGGAGTAGGACCGTGAGACACTGAAAGGAGGTCGCTAAAGAGCAGAGTATTTTCCCATCAGCTGATGGGGCTTAGCCTAGCTTCTGCCCCTCAGCTCCCTCCATCCCACTCCCAACGGAAGGCGGGTCTTACTGCCTGGGCGGCCTTGTGAACCATCTTCATGTGACCCTTGTGGAGCTGCACGTTCAAGAAGAGGCAGTTCAGGAACCGCAGCAGCACCCAGCTGAACAGCCTGGGGAGCAAAGCCCAGCCTGAGGTGTCGCAGGGTGTCACCACTCAAAAGGCACAGCCCCATATCACCCACTGACCCACAATCCTCTATGGCAGGGGCTACTCATCTCCCCATTTTGCAGAAAGGAAAAGTGCAGCTCTGAGGTTAAAGACACCACTGAACAGCAGAGAACTCCTGGTAGAATAAATACTGTACAGCAAACCACAAGGGCGGCAGTTCAGAACTACCAGCCTGCTTCTTGGAAACCCTATACAAGGTGTCTCTATGAGTCAGAAGCGACTTGCCAGCACTTAACAACAGTAGAGCAATCTACACAGCTGTGGTGCTGGGCCTGATGTCAGACTCCACAGTTGCTCAGCTATGATGGTCTCTCCCAAGAAAACCTCGTAGTGCAGCTGCCTCTCATCAGCTTCCGAGACTCTTCCTACCTCTGTTTACCATAAAAGGAACGAGAGGGCAAAATGCCGGGAAAGATGGGGTCTAAAGAAAAGGTTCAGTGGCACAAGAAGGAAGAGGGATAAATGAAGGAGTCAAGTCCTTAGGGAGAAGGACTATCCAGAGGCCCAAGGGGGAGGTCAACTTGAACAGAAGGCAGGAAGAAGACCATGTTAGTATAGAGATGCGGTGAGGTAAGCAGATTGTCCTAATCCAACAGCTTGTATTTCTCCATGAAGCATCAGTCAACAATGAGATATGCAGTCATGAAGGAAACTTGTCTGCTCGGTTGTGTTTTTCTCTAACACTGTTTGGCCAGGCCACTTAGATTAATGTTCAGAGAAGGTAGGCAGCTGTGCTCAAACAGAACTGGGGTTCTGCCCAGTGAGTTCTTCACAGAGGTTGGGAAGGAAGGGAAGATGGGAGGGGACTGATGGCTGGTGTAAAGGTGGTCAGTCAGACTTCAAGGGACTGAAGTCTCAAGAAAATAAAAAAACTATCATAATGGGGGGTCTGAGTCAGGGGGCCAGCAACCTCTACTTCCTGTCCTTGCTCAGTCTGTCTCTCAGCATTTCAAGACACCTGACTGTGACACACAGTCCTGGACTTACGCTTGGTGACTTTATCCACACTACTTTAAATAGCATCAGTAAGCTAGAGCTTTGTAAACGTATTATCTCTGGCTCTAGCCTCTCTTCGAACTGTAGACTCAGGTATCTGCCTACTCAGTTTCTCCATGAGAATGCCACATATAGGAAACTCTGTATGTCCAAAACACCCTTCCTGGACAAGGACAGCCTCATTCCTTCCAAGCCTGTCTCCTCAAGGGAAATAGCAACAGCTCTTGGCCAGAATCCCAGCTCTCCTGTGATTTCTACCTTTTCTCTCACTGCCCACCCAACCCTACCATACAATCCAACAGAAAGTTCTGTTCATTTTACCTTGATCTCTCAAGTCAACTTTTTTCAACCTAGTCTATGGCCACCACCCTATCCAAGTCATCATCATATCTCACCTAAACTAACAAAACAAGTTTCCCAAATGGTCTTCAGGTCTCTATTCTTATGCCTTTCAATTGGTTGTCACTGCACTTAGAAATCAAATCCAAACTTCTTATATGGCCCTGAAAGATCTGGTCCTTCTTACCTCTCGGTTTCATCTCAAACAACTCTCTCCCTCCCTTGCCAGGTTCCAACCACATTGGCTTTCTTTCAGCTTCTAGAACTGAGCCCTTTCCTGTCTAGGGGTCTTAGCCCCTCTATCAGGAATGTTCCCCCCATCCTTGTTCCCCCAAGTCAAGCTCATTCTCTTCCTTTACTGTTACAAGTCTCCACCTTTCCCTCCAGACATTCTCTCCAGGTGTTCTTTCCTCCTGGCAGTTGTTTGTACCTTAGTTGACTCTGACCTGTGTGCCCCTCTACCCCCCTGAACAGTGCCATGCACCTAATGGCTCAGACACGTGTCCCTGGCCCTCTGTGGGAAGGAGAGGTAGGTGGTGATCACAGTCTTTAGGCTGCTCCTACAGGTCACCCAGCCCCTACAGCAATGAGTCCTGCCACCACCCACCTTCCAAAAGGGCAGAGGTCCCACCAAGGGATGAATGGCCCTCAGCATAGGATTACCTGAGCAGCAAGGGGCGGGGAGTGGCCTGCATATGGTCCACGATGCGCCGTACCTCTTTCTTCACAAGACCTGGAGCCTGACCTTCCCCATCCCTTCCTGGTGCCCTCCCTGAGATGATGTTCTGCACCCTGGGATGGAGGGAGCGGGGAAGTGTCAGAATGAAGCAGACCAGGGCTCTGGCTCTGGCCTACCTATTGAGGCACCCCAAGATCTCTCAGGTCACTTCCCTCTGTCTCACCACCTCCCCAGGGCATAGGCGCTACTCTTCACCATCCATTATCCTCATAATCTTTAAGGAAGTACCCAGACAAAGCTATTACTCTAGAAATCTCTCCCTAGGCAACCCCCTCAGCCATCCTGCCAGGAGTCTTTGTCATTTCTTTAAGGATCCCAAAAGTGCGCGTCAGCGCTCAGGTCCCAGCCTCCTTACCCAGGGCTTTCCATGATCTTCTGTAGGGCATCCTGGCAGGGGGGTATTTGCTGTTCCATCGACCACAGGAAATAGCAAAGCTTTCGAACCAGCCAACCCCGAAACCTGGGCAGTCCCCAGAGCGAGTGAGGAGAGCTTTTAGAAAGAGTATACACACACCACACACAGGCCCACAGAGGGCTCTCTGAGCCGGACAGGACCCCACTCCAGGATGCAGTTCCAGGATCTGAGGTGGGCTTATCACTGAGCAGAAGAACGAGGCCTAATGTGCCCCATTCTTGCCCCTCTCCCATCTGAGTGGGGTGCAGGTTCAGGGCCCGACAACCAGGGGGCAATCAAAAACTGTTCCCAGAAGAACTGCAGGAGAGCACCCGGCCTGTGTCTCCTGGCTTGTGGATGCAACAGAAGCCACTGGCCTCTTCTTTTTCCATCAGAATAAAATAGCATCCCAAGCAGGGGCCCACCAGCCCTCAGCCCACCAGTCCATCTGACCGCCAGCTCTGGCTACCTGGTGTTCTCCTCTTTCACCAAGATGACATTGCAGAAACCTAGGTCCATTATGCTTCTGTGGAAAAGGGATTCCTGCACGAGACAGGCAGAGAGGCCAGGTCCTGAGGGTCTTCATAGCCCACAAAGCCCCAGCCCTACTCTATTCTTAGCCTCATGGTCTTGCAAGTCTACCAAGAGACAGGACTACATAACAGCATTTCCCAAAAGATGTTCAACCCCAGAGCCTGAAGCCTGGCTCAGGAAAAAGGTTCCCTTGGTCATCATGGGAGGCGCTGCATTCTGTACAGAACCACCTTCTTGGAAAGACTAGCATATTGGCTTTCCCCAAACTTATTTTGATCACAGAACCCTTTTTGGGGATAGTGTTGATGTCCTGTGGAACTGGTAAAAATCTAGAGCAAACAGAGAAATCTATCTACTTGCATCATGTGTGCATAAAACACAACTGCAGATCCACACGCCATCGCAGCCTTTCTCCTGTCTCCACCAAGGGACACATCCTGTCACCCTGTAGCACCCCTCAGTGAAGGCTTTGCTCCCCCTCTCTGGTACCCTGTACTGTACACTCCTCTACTCTCCCCCTTAGCTCCACACACATGTAATTACTGTGTGTAATGCTGGTTCCTCGCACCACCAGAGAACACACAGCCTGGATCTCCACCAGAACCCTGGACCCTACCAGCACCAGCACATGGCATGGATGGGTACACAGAGGCCTTCAAATGGGCTGGGTGCTGTGGAGAAGTCTGTGAGTGTGTGGGTGTGCCCCAAACAGAATACCAACACTCATGCAGGCATGGTCAGGCCCCAATTCTCAGGCCCCTCTGCACTTCCCCACCCAACTCTCCCAAGTCTGGGCAGCCAGCCACAATCCAACATCACACTAATACCAGCACATCCATTACCCTAAAAGACAAGAGCAGAGGCATCAGGCAAAGGACCAGAGCTTAAAAGGACATAAGAAAATGGTTTCCCAGAGCCATGGCTCCCAGGAACAACCTATCCCAAGCTTCCCAGGGTGGTCCCCGGCCCTAACATTACTCACCCAGCTTTTAGGGGTACAGGTCTGGCAGCAACGACCCACAAAGGGACGATACTTCCCCAGGAATGGGGTGACAGCCTCCAGCTTCATCCCAAAGCCCGAGGACCACAGGCAGGTCTGAAAAGAGCCATACGGAGAGCTAAGAAGATTCAAAGTCCTTGGCAGAGGGAGGAAGGCTCCAGTAGGTGGGGGCCCAAACAAATCCCAGGAGGGGAGGAGCCGGGGGTGACAGGGAAGAGGTTGATCTAGGAATGAGAAGGTACCACGCTACCTCCGGGCCATGGTATCTGTTCCTTTCATTCTGCTGGGTCTGAAGTCTGGCTCCCTTCATGGTGTCTATGAGGGCCTAGGAGATCTGGAATCAGCTGTCTCCACAGGAACCTGACTGGGAAAGAGGGGAAAGGGTGGAGGGGTGCCTGGAGGATGAGCCATAGCCCAGGGTCCTTGGTGTGATCCCCAAACCTCTGACCTCAGGGCAGCACTGATGAGGAGAACCTGGGGTAGAAACTAGGAAATGGACTCAAATCAAAACCCCATCTCATCCACACATGGGCCCCACCAAGGATCTGGCTGTCTCCATAAAATCTCACAGACGCCAAGGTCAGGGGCTCCCTCAGGCCAACATGAGAAGGCTCAGTTGCTTCACCATCAATACCTACCCTGACACTTCCTAGCACATATGGGAGCAGTGCTGAGACTCAGATCCCTTCCATGCTGAGGAAAAGGGCATGGAGGTTGGTAGGAAAGAGGCACAAGACTGCCCAGGCAGAACAGATCCAGCACCAGGAGACCACTCAGCTGGCTCAGCTGTTTTTCCCCTCCCTGCCAGGGGGCAGCCCTTCATCCACTCCATCATTACAGGGATGGAGCCTGGGCGCTAGCTGGGGGACAACTGGAGAGTAGAACACAGAGAAAGGCCACACAGAATGTCCATCACACTGCAGACAAGACAATTCCATAATAGTCCCGCGCGCACAGCACTTTCCACAAAAGACGCACCTAGCATCTCCTCGGATATCTCCTGCCCCCCACAATGCTGTCCTGAGCAAACATCTAATTTCCCTTACTATAGCACTGAAGAGCTCTGGTGTGGTGCTATAGGATAAGCACTGGACTGCTAACTGCACAGCTGGCAGTTCAAACCCACCAGCCATTCTCAGACACCCTGTACAGGGTCACTATGAGTTGGAACCAACTCCACAGCATTTAACAACATAGCATTGAAGAAGCCCCTGAATGTTGTTGTTTTTGTTAGTTGCCATCGAGTTGGTACCACTCATAGAAACTCTAGGCACAACAGAACAAAACACTGCCTGATCCTGGGCCAACCTCACTATTGTTGCCATGCTTAAGCCCGTTGAAGCTGCCACTTTGCCAATCCACCTTGCTGGGGGTCTTCCTCTTTTTCTCTGACCCTCCACCATACCAAACATGATATCCTTTTCTAGAGACTAGTCCTTCCTGACAAGATGTCCGAAGTATGAGAGACGAAGTCTGGCCATCCTGGCCTCCAATGAGCACTCTGGCTGCACTTCTTCCAACACAGATCTGTTGGTTCATTTGGCAGCCCATGGTACTTTCAATATTCTCCTCCAACACCATAACTCAAATGCATCAATTCTTCGTACATTTTTTCCCTTGGCCCGCACAGTATTTTCAAGCATTATGAATGAGTATTAACACTTAAATACAGAACTTGTCATGTTAAGAAATGAAAAACCCGAGTCTGGCAGCTTCTCGCCACCACCTCCATTACATTTACTGCTCACATCCCAGTTTTCAGCTCAGAACCAAACGATAAAATCCAAATCTCTGTTCCCCTGTTCTTCGACCAAAAAAAAACAAAAAAAACCCAAAGAGAACTTATCTTTTTAGACTCAACTTGAACACAACAGCTCCCCCTTTGCTGCCCTAGCAGCTGCCCCCCAAGATTCCTCAAGATGGAAGAAAAGGCGCGTGCCTGAGTGGCAGGGGGGAACTTCCGCCTGAACGCCCCCCTCTCTGGGTCCCGAGTGACCGAGCCATGAGATGCAAAGCGGGACTCGTCGGTGCTACCCCTTAGGCCACGATACCTCCCGAAATGCTAGGATGCGTGGCAGGCCCCGCACAGCCTGCTCTCTTCCAATCATTCCCTGACTCCCGAGGGCCGGTAGGCCCCGGATCCTGAAGCGGGAAGGTTCCTGAACAATTCCGGGTCAGTTCTGATCAGTTTCAGCCCCGTAGTGGGCCCTGCCGGTCTTACCTCACAAGAGCTGCCAACTCCCGCCAAGGCAGCTGCCTAGCGAAGTCTTAAAGCACTAACCGGCCTCCTCAGGGTCCGAGCATCAAACGCAGCTCTGAGACTCGGGAAGAAAGATGGGTCTGAATCCCCGCCCCCTGTGAAGCTCCTCCCCATGCCGCACTTCACGCCACGTATGCACGTGGCTAGCAACCGGCTCCAACCGGCTCCTAGGCGTAGGCGTGCCTGGGCTTTCTGCGGGGGCTGGTTAGGGTGGTTGCCAGCAGTTAGTACTGATGGAGTCTTGGTGAAGAGCTCGCATCCTTGGTTAAAACACATTCGGGAGATCCCGGGAGTGGGGACCCGGGGCACCTGAAGGTTGGACAGGGAGTCTTGGGCACTCAGGTTCTAATAAAAGAGGTCACCCAAGGTATACTCACCACACGGAGCTGTAATTTGTTGTTGTGTGCCATGAGTGGCCTCCAACTCAGAGTGACCCTGTTTTCCAAGGCTATAAATCGTTTGTCCTTGGAGCAGCTAGTGGATTTGAACTGCTAACTTTGTAGTTAGCAACCAACTCAACTCACTATGCCACCAGAGTTGGAGTTTTAGTGTTAAGTGCCTTGAATTGGTTCCGACTCATAAAGACCCTGTACAGGGTTTAGAGTAGTTACTGGTGAATTTAAACTACCAACCTTCTGGTTAGCAGCCCAGAGCGCATCCTACTGGACTGTACCAAAATTCTGAGTTGGGGATATTCAGGAGAGAAGAACATCACCAGACTCAGTTTTGGGGCATGAGAAACAAATCAGGTGTCTTTTTTTGTTGTTGATTGAAGCTCTAGAAATAGGAGTCTGGGCTTTCAGCTGGGCCTCTGGCCAATGTTTATTCATTTGATTAATATCTGACTCCTGCCTCAGCTCCAAGCTCCATGTGAAGGGAGACAATATATTGGCTCACTCTTTTGGCTATATTCCCAGGAACAGGTAAGTGGTTCAAGGATGTCGAATAAATGAATAAGAAATGCCTGTGCTTTGTTCTTGAACTGCCCCCAGATAATGAGCCCACCTGACATGACAGAAGATTCCAGAGTTTGAGAGCAGACATTATGATACTGAAGGAGCAAAGCCAAATTGAGGGCACAAGATAGCAGCATGCTGGTTCACATCCCTCCTCTCTGACTCATCACCTCTGAGATACAACTCCCCTCATGACATCCGCAGCCTGAATGTCTCTCTCCCTTATTTGTGCCACTTTGTCTAGCCAGGCAGTATGTAGGTCTGTGTCCATCTAATTTGCAGTGTCCTTCCAGCACTTACAGAATCTGTTTTATCGCCCATCTAAGGTGAACTCTTAATAAGGAGCTCTGGTAGCATAGTGGTTACAAGTCGGGCTGCCAACCTCAAGGTCAGCAGTTCAAAACTACCAGTGGTTCCGTCGGAGAAAGATGAGGCGTTCTGCTCCCGTAAAGATTTACATCCTTAGAAACCCTGTGCAGGGTCACTATGAGTTGGAACCGACTCCACAGTACTCACAAACAACAACAATGTGGATTATGATAAACACTGAATTGTGAACCACAAGGTCAGTGGTTCAGACTCACCAGCTGTTCCTTGGAAACCCTGTACAGAGACACTATGAGTTGGAATCCACTAGACAATAACTACAATGTTTCTTGTGTAACAAGATGTATTAGCCACAACTAGACCCTAAGATTCTAATGCTGGGGGCTGGGAAGACCCAGACCAAAAAAAACCAAAAACAACAAAAACCCAAGTCCTTCCTTTAGGAGTTGTAAATTGTCTCACAGAAATACAGACTAAAATTTTCCTGAGGGCTGATGTTCCTTTGTTCTGGAAACACCAGTTTTATACCGGAGCTTCAAAAAGTTCATGGACCCTCCACACACACAGTAGAAAGAGAGATGGGCACATTGGACATTTGATACCCAAATTGGGGGGGGGGGCGCACTACAAAGGCAAGAAGTGACTGGCTTACAAGCTTTCAATAGGGAACCTAGAGCTAGGGGGCATGGAGAAAGGCAGAATCTCCAGTGAGTACTATCCAATCTGTCCAGGCGGAGCTGATGAAATGAAATGCAGAAGGGTCACTTGTGATACAATAATGAATGATTGTTATCAGGACTGATTGTGAGGGTTGGAAATGTAAAGGTAGACGTTTTGTAGCAAGGAAGGGAGTGATTAACTCTCCAGTCTAGGA